ATGTTATTTCATAATGTGTAACTACAATAAAATGGAATAATAATTTATTAATAGTAAATAATATGAACAATTGAAAAAATTAATATTTAAATTTAATAAGATTTTTAAATCATACCTATTAATAGCTATAATTTAGGCAATTTTGAGTTTACAACAAAAGTTGATTCTCCAAAATGTTTTGAAAAAAATCAGTCAATCCGAAAATATTTAAAATAGGGGTTGCCATTTGAAAAAAGTGAAATTTTCAACCCATAAAAGAGTTAAAACATTTTAAGTCATAGGAATTTATGATTAATATTATTATTCTAGTTTAATGTCCCACAAACAGAATTGAAAGAAACTTACAGAGTAATGACTAATGAGTGATAAAGCGTATCCTGTATTTTTGGAACACACGGTATATTGTAATTTTTTGTGTGTGGGGGGTCGGAACCGTACGGCTAAAATAATTTTTCTCCATCCATCTCTATTTTCTGTTCTCCTAAAATGTTGTTTTAACTAAATATCTGTTGTTTGGTCATTATACACGCCTTATCAGATACCTTCTGATAGATTCTGAGTGGATTATACACTGGTGTATTTTTGATTTTTTTGTGCATGCGTACACAATAATTCAATAATTCATATAAATAAATAATGTTCGACTTCAGCATCTTTGCCGGTGGGGGTGTGAATCTAGTTGAGTGTATTTGGGAAATCAAATCTTAGGAAAAAATCAACAATGGATGGTATTAAAAATACAAAACAATAAATACATTTTTACTAAAAGATTATGCTAACATAATTGTCTATACCTACACCATACAAAATATGTTGAATCGTGTGGTATTATTTATAGCCATATTAATTTTTTGATAAATATTAATTTTATGTAAATTAATGTTATAAATAGTCGTAACTTGGTCGAAAAACTTCATAGATTTCCCTCGTCAATATATTTTATTCTAATTATTTATCAATTGCATTCTATTTTTTCGTTATTAATTTTTAATCTTAGTGTCCTTCTTGTCCTACCATTATCATGAGCTTCCTACATATACGTTACGTTTTACACCTTTTATTCAGTAGTACTATAAATTATTGTATCACCTACATATTATACTAGGAGATTTATGTTCTAGTTTCCTAATATTATTGTATCTTTGCCATTTATTTTTATGATTACCTTCTCTAATGTGAAAAAATATATTATTTGTGACAGTACATCTCTTTAACTCAGGCTAACATTTACTTATTAAATGAGCTTGATTAAATTATATTTAATAACATTACATTTTATATTTTTACCTTAATTTCTTTGTTTTTTAAGATGGTTTAATGCTTAAATTAAATGTATAATAGTTTAGTAGGGAAATAGAACGATTTTGGTATGTTACTACAGTGGCGCAGAAGTGTTTAAAAAATACTATGACATCGTACATTCAGCCCCCCACCCTAATTTTTTCACAACCTAACCACAACCAGGCCCCAGTACCTCTTGGTGGGCCCCCCAGCTATAAAATCTACTATGACATATGTCATTGATAAATTAGGTGATCGGTGCCACTGTGTTACTGTACTGAATTATTGTTTTTTTTTTAAACTACAATTAGAACACATATTGAGCTTTTATTTTTCCCGAATCTGTTTTAAACTGAAGATTAAATTTTTTGTGAATCTATTAGATCTACAACCTCYTTGATAATCTCCCATAATCTTTTATTTTAATCTTAATAATATACCTATCATATTGATTTTATACTACTATTTGATTTTCTTCACTGGCGGAGTTCACATGAACCCAATTTTACCAGTTTTTTTTTCTGGCGGAGTTTACAGTAAAAAAGGGTACCTACTTGTAGCGGAGTTTACATGCGTCCAGTGGCGTGTTTAAGGGGGAGGGGGGCGAGGGAAGTGGTCGATGTGTTTAATAATAATTTTAGTGTGATCTGCAGCTGTTCGTCGTCTGTGTTTTTCCATATCTAATATGTATCTGCTTTTTTTTTCAGCCACGTCGCGTGCAAACCATGCCTTAGTGTTACGTTGCATTTTTTCCCCGTATACTATTATTTTCAGTGATATTTTTTTTAATAATTATATATGGAGTATCAGTAACATCCAGAGTTTGTTATTGAGTTGAAAAAATCCCCAACTTCCGTCCAAACCCTTCATCCTACAAAATTATCAGTTGTAATGTACATATCTATGTACAA